GATCTCCCTGTTTCAGAGCACTCATCCGTTTCTCCCTGTGCTTTTTCACAGTAAAGTTTAAATCCACTCTCGCTCTTAGGCGACTCGGTGAGGTCGGGTTTGTGTTGGGGTTCAGGGAGGAGCCGTGTTGGAAATCCTGAAAGTGCTGCCCAGTAGGCCAGGAAGCAGCGTGATCTCTGAACCACAAGCACAAATCTTCCAACTTACTGTCAGACTTTCCGCTTCGCTAATGTCTCCGCTCTTAATCTGGGCAGATTGGGCTGGATTAAAACAACAGAGCCATTTAAGACCAGACTCAGAAAGAGCATTGAGATAGTAATCAGAGTCAGAGCAAAGGAAATGAACAAAACTTTTATCATATGAAAGTCTTTTCAGACCTTTTTCCACCTTTTATACAATATCTACCTGCTGAAAACTATTTAAAGAGGCTCAAGAAAATTAGATTTCAGATTTTTTTCAAAAGTAAATTTTTTGGTCCAAATCTTCTTCTGCATGCATCATGTGAAGCTCAACTAAAAACAAACATATTAGAGGAAAAATGATGGAAAATCTCTTGATAAAAACCAAAACAAACGGATCCATTCGGTCGCAGCTGTTCTGGGACGGTTCTGACTTTATGGGTCTTTTTCTCCAAGTTCTGAAATTTTCTTTGTGTGACGAAACATCTGAAGAATTCATCCACAATGTCAGGAAGAGATTGTGAATCTGGAAAAGTTTGTTCGTCTTTGGGTTGATTATTCAGAAGGTTTGATATTAATCTGTTTAAATTCTTTCACACAAAGGAAGAAGTTTAGTCCAGCAGCAACATCATAGTCAGAATGCAAATCAAAAGAGGAGAAATCTGAACACCAATATAAGATGAAAAACAGAAAGGAATTAAACGAAACAGCCCAGAATGAACTGAACACAGAATAACGGGAATAATATTTGATCAAAGCTGAAACACAGCAGAAAACAGAAACACTTGTGAATCACGACAGCAGGAGGGACTGGTGCACTTCCCAACCCAGACGGATTCATGAGGGATTCATGGATTCATGAGGGATTCATGGATTCATGAGGGATTCATGGATTCATGAGGAAAAGAAGAAAAGAAGAAGCAACAGCTGAGCCGTTATTGGTTATTCAGAACTAAAAACGGCTCCAAAGCACAAGGGAGAGTCAGCTACAGGAGGATGATGGTCACTCATTCATTCATTCATTCATTCATTCATTCATTCATTCATTCATTCATTCATTCATCACACAGAGGACTTTGCAAGGCAGCAAACTGTACTAAATTCAATTAGATTTTCATTACAGGCTTGAATCTTTGAATCCAGATCTAATCAATAACCTATAACTCATAAGAAACCGTCATAAAATAATCTGATTTCCTCAGGAAGGATGCTGCAGGTCTGACCTCTGACCCTCTGAGGTGACGGGTTTCACCATCACGACCTACAAGCATTTTCCATGCATTGTAACGTTTCCATCTGTCCCAGAACCCAAGCAGAGTTTTACATTTATCTTAGGATTTGTCATGGCTTTCAAACCCACTCCCTGATTTTTGATCACAGGATTTATTTCCCTGCAAGAATAAATGTGAAAAGTCCAGATGCATCTGTATGTGCTGTGTGACAGGAAATGTATGCAGGACACATCTAGAGCAGAAATCCTGCCTGATGTTCTGCGACGCTGCTGAAAGGTGCTGCAAAGGTTAAACTTCTGATTTCACATTTCTCCATTATGTAACAGATCCTCTTGCTAAAGGTTTAGTCTTTAGTGTCTTGGTCACTGCTGGAAGTTTCCCTGTTTCTGTGGAGACATTACTTAGTCTATTTTAGATTATGAAATACATAAGATATAATAAGAAGAAACATCCACTTGCATGTCATTATTTCCACATCATTTGTCCCAGAATTGAAAATATTTACAGTTCTACTCAGAATCTGGTAAAGATATAACCTGAGGTTCTCTGGATCATCATTCCAGCCTTTGACTCAGTGCTGATGTGTTTATTGACGGGTTTCATTCATGTCCAGCTTAGCGGTGATCGGCTCCAACAGGAAGGAAATGTTCTTTCTCAATCTATATTTCCTCTTCAGTTTTATTTGTATTTTTAAACTCGATAGAGACTGTCATTAAAATGATTTCATGTCTAATGTTTTTATTTTATTACACATTGTTTCTGTTTATTTTGGTGCTGCTCATTATTCATCATCATTCTTATTTATACGATTCTGATTCATGATCTCTAAACATTTCGGATCTGATTTCTCCTTCCTGTTTCAAACTGTTTTTGGTTTTTTATTCTGTCTTCACTTTAATTCTGAGGTTTTATATAAAATGTAAATCAATCAAACTTTGGTCCAGATTTTCTTCCAGTTCAAAAATCAGTTTGGGGTAAAAGTTGCTGTTCGTCTGATTCAGCAGCCATTATGTTTTGAGATGAGAGTAAACTGTGCATCGTTTCTCCGCCGCTGCTGTTGTCATGTATGAGCAGATCACGTCCTGTTGACTTTGAGACGTTTGTGTGGCGGACGGATTAACTGCTGGTGCAGCTTTTCTGTCCCGGTAAACCATGGAAATGGTGTCAGCTCATTTAGAACGAGATGCAGAGACAATCAACTGGGTTGAATCAGCAAGATTCAGGTGAAACAGCAGCTCAGACCAGGCCTGTGGTGTTTTATTGATTTAATTCAGTAACTGGTTTATATCGTTAGACTGTTTCCAATGAAACTGTCAGCCGGGCTGAACAGGATTGTTCCAGTATGTCATACAGCATTCCTAATGGAGTGGCAAATTGTTCTGACACTCCTTTATCCATCTGACTTCAAAGATACAAATCACACAGAGACAGAATAAAAATGAATTGTTTAAGGCAATATGTGCTTTATACATGTCTGTCCTTCCAGCTTCGAGCTCTTTCACTTTTTTCTCTCCATCTTTCAGCCTGATTTGCAACGAGACGTAAAAATTTGTCTCGCTGCTCTGAACTCTGAGGATTTGGCTTTTCTGTCTCCTTTCAGGCCCAGATATGATCACATGGTCTCGTTTCCAATAAAGCTTCCAGTTTGTTTTTCATCTCAAATCAAAAGAAAAATTTATATTTTTTATCCATTAACACTAACTGATAAAATCCCTTCAAATATGTTTTATGATCTCTGTCAGTCGGTACAGAGATTATAATATTCTGATGCACAGAAACAGAAATAAGAAGTGAGTTTACATTGCAAGGCAAACAGAACATGAAGAATCAGAGGTTACAATGGATATGAAAACATTCATAGACGTTTCTTTAAACTGTTTATCAGTTGGCTGTGAAGCAGAAAGATCAGGTTTCATCAGATTTAGATTCTTTCGTGTTTTTCTTCTTCTCTCTGGTCATTTTCAGAATCTCAGGCACTGATGGAAACTGGCTGGTTTTTGAATTGTCTTCATGTTTCTTTAAATACATGGGCATCTTAATAAATTAGAATATTATTGAACAGTTATTTTATTTCAGTTATTCATTTCAAAAAGTCGGCATCATTAAACTGAAATAAATTCTCCCAAAGTGATCAATTTGAAAGTATCCAAGGATTTCAATGGAAAGTTAAGTGGAAGGAAGCTGAGTGACAGCTGAGCTGCATGTCTTGTGAATCTCTCCTAAACTCTTGACTGAGCTTTGCATCACTTTCCTCTCAAGGCTGAGGTTATCCATGTTGCTTCTTCAAGCTTTTTCTTCCACTTAACTTTCTGTTAGTATGTTTGGATATAAACCAATCTATTTGTATTCACCTGCATGTCCATTTGGACCATGTTTGGTTTCTTGTTAACATCTTTAGTGCAAAGCGTTGCAGCCAGAATCCAGCTGTTTTGCAGCAGATTCTCAGGAAAGCAGCAGTTTGCAGAAAAGCATCAGCATTTCCTCTCCACTGCTGAACTCTTCACGTTTTTACTCCTGATTATACCAGCAGCTCAAAGCGGGTTCTCGTCTAAAGCTCTGGATCAAATCAAATTAAACTGGAGGCTTGACTCATTTTTTAGTGGCTGAAAAGTTCAAATGTTTGGAGCTGAATCTGTGGTGGGTTCAGGAAGGCACTTTGGTCAAAGTCGCAACACAAAGCCAGATAAAGGCTCAGAAACTCAGAACCAAGCAAAGGAAAACCCGAGTGTAAAAGTTCAGCTGCAGTTCGACGCAGCAGATCCTGTTTGTGGTTTCATGGTTTCATTTCTCTCTTTGTTCTCATTAAGCCTCACAGAAAATCAATTTAAAAACTGAAAGTTTCCGACTTTAACATTATCATCAGCAGAAAGCAAAGAAAACAACGTTCTGCTAGGAAACCAGGAAAAGATCCGTTTTAACGTTCAGACTGTTGCATATTTAATATTTGCATTTACAAGAGCAGTAAATGGGAATTAATCAAAATAAAACATTTATTAACCCGAACCAGTTTCTAAACGTGACCTCCAAAGGTTTCTGGAGGCTGAAGGCATCAAAATCTCTGGACCAAACAGCGTCTTGGATATTCAAGCAGATCAGAAATGCATAATTAGATTTAAGGTCCTGAATCAAAGAACTTCATCTATGAATTGCTTGCAATCTGCAGCTCCACCACTAGGTGTCACCAGAGGTTGATTTTGAAGCTTTCTTTCTTTTTTTTTTATGTTCTTGTGACTAAAAACTGAAAATCTTTAAAATCACATTTTGACCCAAAATTAATGAAATTCTCCAAACTCAGCATAAAAGTTTTGAATGTTCAATTCGAAAGTTGATTGAAATTAAGATTAAATATTTTAAATAAGATTATACTTGTAAATTTAAAAATCCAGATTAGCTCGAGTTTTAAGGCAAACAGGTTTTACATGTTGGTGAAGTGTGAACTGGAAAATGACTCATATTTTTAGATGATATCTTTAACATGTCAAAAACATTTCTGACCTCAATCCATATAAAATCTGCATTTGACCCATGAAGTGAAACAGCCACAGCTAAAAGTCCTCCTGAGAAGTTTGTTCATGTATATGGATGGATT